CACATAGATCAATGGAACAGAATAAAGAGCCCAGAAATGGACCCTCAACTCTATGGTCAACTAATCTTCGACAAAGCAAGAAAGAATGTCCAATGGAAAAAAGACAGTCTCTTCAACAAATGGTGTTGGGAAAATTAGACAGCCACATGCGGAAGAATGAAACTGGACCATTTCCTTACACCACATACAAAAATAGACTCAAAATGGATGAAAGACCTCAATGTGAGACAGGAGTCCATCAAAACCCTATAGGAGAATACAGGCAGCAACCTCTTCGACCTCAGCCACAGCAACTTCTTCCTAGACACTTCACCAAAGGCAAGGGAAGCAAGGGCAAAAATGAACTATTGGGACTTCATCAAGATTAAAAGCTTTTGCAAAGCAAAGGAAACAGTCAACAAAACCAAAAGACAACTGACAGAATGGGAGAAGATATTTGCAAATGACATACCAGGCAAAGGGTTAGTATCCAAAATCTATAAAGAACTTATCAAACTCAACACCCAAAGAACAAACAATACAATCAGGAAATGGGCAGAAAACATGAACAGATATTTCTGCAAAGAAGACATCCAAATGGCCAACAGACACATGAAAAAGTGTTCAACATCACTTGGCATCAGGGAAATCCAAATCAAAACCTCAATGAGATACCACCTCACACCAGTCAGAATGGCTAAAATGAACAAGTCAGGAAATGACAGATGTTGGCGAAGATGAGGAGAAAGGGGAACCCTCCTACACTGTTGGTGGGAATGTAAGCTGGTGCAACCACTCTGGAAAACAGTATGGAGGTTCCTCAAAAAGTTGAATTTAGAGATACCATATGATCCAGCAATTGCACTAGTGGATATTTACCCCAAAGATACAAATGTAGGGATCCAAAGGGGTACGTGCACCCCGATGTTTATAGCAGCAATGTCCACAATAGCCAAACTGTGGAAAGAGCCAAGATGTCCATCGACAGACAAATGGATAAAGAAGATGTGGTATGTATATGTGTGTGTGTATATATATATATATATATATATATATACACACACACACACACACACACACACACTGGAATATTATTCAGCCATCAAAAAATCCGAAATCTTGCCATTTGCAATGACATGGATGGAACTAGAGGGTATTATGCTAAGCGAAATAAGTCAATCAGAGAGACAAGTATCATATGATCTCACTGTTATGAGGAATTTGAGAAACAAGACAGAGGATCACAGGGGAAGGGAGGAAAAAATGAAACAAGATGAAACCACAGAGGCAGACAAACCGTAAGAGACTCTTAGGAAACAAACTGAGGGTTGTTGGAGTGGTGGGGGGTTGGAGGGATGGGGGGGCTGGGTGATGGACATTGGGGAGGGTATGTGCTATGGTGAGTGCTGTGAATTGTGTAAGACTGATGAATCACAGAACTGTACGCCTGAAACAAATAATACATTATATGTTAAAAAAAGAAGAAGAAGAAAATAGGAAGGGAAAAATGAAGGGGGGAATATCGGAGGGGAGGACAAACCATGAGAGACTCTGGACTCTGAGAAGCAAACTGAGGGTTCTAGAGGGGAGGGGGGTGGGGGGATGGGTTAGTCGGGATGGGTATTAAGGAGGGCATGTATTGCATGGAGCACTGGGTGTTATACACAAACAATGAATCATGGAACACTACACCAAAAACTAATGATGTAATGTATGGTGACATAATAAAAAAAAAAGTATATGGATTAAGAAGGAAGAAATAAAACTATCTTTGTTCTCGGATGACATGATCACTTTTACAGAAAATCCTAAATTTAAAAAAATCCAAGCTAATTCACAAAGAATCTTGGAACTAATTAGTGATTACAGTGAGGTTGTGGGGACAAGGTTAATATACAAATGTTAATTTCTTTCCTATATACCAACAATGAATAAGTAGAATCTAAAACTAAAAACAGGATCATTTACATTAACACCCCAAAAATGAAATATGTAGGTATAAATTGACCAAAACATGCATAAGGTCTATATGAGGAAATGACAAAACTATGATGAAAGAAATAAAATATGAACTAAATAAATGGAAAGATATCCCATGTTCATGGATAGGAAGCATCAAGATGTCAGTTCTTCCCAATTTGATCCACAGATTCAATGCAATCCCAATCAAAATCCTAGAAATTGAGATGTCCAGATATTGACAAACTGATTCTAAAATTTATGGAGAGGCAGAAGACTCAGAATACTCAACACAATATTGAGGAAGAAGAACAAAGTTGCAGGACTGACACTATCAGACTTCAAGACTTACTATAAAGCTAGAGTCATCAAGACAGTATGGTATTGGAGAAAGGAGCAAAGGAGCAGAAGCAGTACAATGGAGCAAAAATAGTCTCTTCAACAAATCATGCTGGAACACCTGGGCATCCACATGTGGAAGAATAATCTAGACACAGACCTTATACCCTTCACAAACATTAACCTAAAATTGATCACAGACCTAAATGTAAATCAGAAAAAATAGACTCCTAGAAGATAACATAGGAGAAAATCTAGAGGACCTTAGGTAGAGTGTTGACTTTTTATATATGACACCAAGTGCTCAATCCATGAAATAAATAATCAGTAAGCTGGACTTCACTAAAATTAAAAACTTCTGCTCTGTAAGACAATATCAAGAGAATGAGAAGACAAAATATAGACTGGGGGAAAATATTTGAAAAACACACATCTAGTAAATGACTCCTCCAAGATAAACAAAGAGCCCTTAAAACTCCATGGTAAAAAACAAATAACCCAATTAAAAAATGGGCCAAGGACCTTAACAGACATCACTCCAAAGAAAATATATAGATGCCAATAAGCATATGAAAAGATACTCCACATTATATGTCATCAGGAAAATGTAAATTAAAACAACAATCAGGGGCGCCTGGGTGGCTCAGATGGTTAAGCGTCTGCCTTCGGCTCAGGTCATGATCTCAGGGTCCTGGGATCGAGCCCCGCATTGGGCTTCCTGCTCCTTGGGAGCCTGCTTCTCCCTCTGCCTCTCTCTCTCTGTCTCTGTCTCTCATGAATAAACAAATAAAATCTTTAAAAAAATAAAAAATAAAAAAAATAAAACAACAATCAGATATCACTATATACCTGTTAGAATGGCCCAAGTCCAGAGCACTGACAACATCAAATGATGGCAAGAATATGGAGCAACAGGAATTCTCATTCATTGCTGGTGAGAATGCAAGATGGTACAGCCACTTCTGAATTCAGTTTGGTGGTTTCTCACAAAACTAAACACACTCTTACCATGCAATCCAGCAATTGTTGCTCCTTGATATTTACCCAGAGGAGTTGAAAACTTATGTCCAAACAAAAACCTGCACATGGATGTTTGTAGCAGCTTTCTTCATAATTCCCCAAATTTGGAAGCAAGCAAAATGTCCTTCAGTAGGTGAATGGATAAACTGGTACACCCAGACAAGGGAATATTATTCATCACTAAAAAGAAATGCATTATTGAGCCATAAAAAGACATAGAGGAACCTTAAATACATATTACTAAGTGAAAGAAGCCAATCTATATGAGGCTACATACTTATGATTCCATCTATATTACATTCTGGAAAATACAAAACCATGGAGACAGTAACAAGATCAGTGGTTGCCAGAGATCAGGGGAGAGGGAGGGATGATTAGGGCAGTAAAAGTACTCTGTATGATATCATAATGTTAAATACATGTCATTATACATTTCCAGACCCATAGATGTACAACACCACGAGTGAACTGTAATGTAAACTATAGACTTTGGGTGATTATGATAGGTCAATATAGGCTCATCAATTATAACCAGTCCAAGCTGGTGGGGGATATTGATGATGGGAGATGCTGTGCATGTTTGGGGGCAGGGAGTATATCTCTGTACTTTCCCTTCTATTTTGCTGTGAATCTAAAACTCTGAAATAACTATTGATTAAAAAGAAGAAGATGAAGAAAGAAATTTTAGTATTAGTACAATCTCACCTTCCATAGTCATAAAGGCCCAAGAATGAAGCTAGGTCTGATCTGAAGACAGGCCCAGAGAGTAGATCTAGGAATAGGGAGTTGGGGAATACAGACTAAGAGCTTGAATTTTGGGGGGTAGACAGACCTAGGTTAAAACCCTAACCCTGCCATTTACCGGCCATGTGACCTTGAGCAAGGGCCTAGCCTTCTTTGAGTTCTCAGATTTCTCCTTTATAAAGAGTGATAGAAAGCAGCAGATGCAAGGAAGTGGTAGTATAAAGAATAGTAGCCTTCCAGGGTGGCTGGGGGGGCGGGTAGGGATCAAATAAGATGATGCAGAAAAAGAGTGAAGAATCACATCCTGTATACAGTAAACACAAAACGGCTTTCTAAAAAGAAAAAAATACATCAAAGCTCTGAGCAAGAAGGGGATGCTGAGCATAGATGCTTGGTCACTGGGGGTGAAAGTGAACCCCTAAGGCAGAGTGTCCTGCAGGGTAACCCTTGAGTACAAGGCTCTCTGCCAAGCCCTGAGAGTATTAATAGGCTTGGTTTTATTTTCAGGATGAAATCATAACAGGAAAGAGTGTAAAGACCTTTTATTTTTTTAAATAATCTAGCTAAATGTGTCACTTGTCCTAAGTGAGTTGCTAATGGAACTAATCTACTGGCCACAGCATGTATTTAGCAGAACAGTCACAAATGTTTAGAAACAAGACTATCTCTCTGTCAATGAGGATGCCCTGTCCTCAAAAAGTGGAGCTTCTTAGGGATAAAAGGTGAGGCTACAGGGACAGTAAGTAATCTGGTCACACCAAGGGAGAGACAAACAGAAAGCCAGACAGATCTGTTGCAGAAAGCAGCAGATGCAAGCCTGAGCTGACCTTTGAAGGTTATGCTCATTGCAAATTCCTTTTCCTTAAGGGTTGTCAGGCTATCAAAGTAAAATTTTCAAAAAGTTAAAAACACGATTCTCATATAAACAATGAGCATATGCCAAAGTTTTATTTAATTACCAGTGAGAGAACCAGCAGGATGACAAAGCTGGATACAGAAATCAATACATACAGGAGGGGGATTGCTGCATGAAGTTTGCTAAATCAGATTCTAAACTAGCTAGTGTCCTACAAGGCAATAAAAGCATAACCACTGGGTTATCTTTCTATTGCACATAAATCATTTGCATCTCTACCAGACAAAAACAATTTGTTCCTTGTCTGTTATTAGTAAATAGTAAACAAAATTACATTCCCCTAGAGCAGGGGATCAGCAAACTAAGGCGTATGGGCCATTCCGGTCTGCCTCATGTTTCTGTAAATAAAGTTTTATTGGAATATAGTGACACACATTTGTTTTCCTACTATCTGTGGCAAAGTTGATTAATTGTGAGAGAGAAAATACGGCTTGAAGAGCCTAAAATATTTGTTATCTGGTTTTTGTGTTTTTTTTAAGCCTTCTGATTTTTTTTATTATTCAAAAAGCCTTCATTTTTTAATTTATCTTTCTGACTCTGTGCTTGGGCCTTTAACACTTTCACAACGATTTTCTGCTCCTCAATAAGGAAAGCATGCTTGATCCTGTCACGAACACACTTAGCACATATGGAACCACCATAGGCCCTGCTGACGTGTTTTTTCGTTTTGGACAACCTCATAAGGACTTTAGGTCTCACAGCACAAACTCCTCGAAGTCGGCCTGGGCACACGCCACGTGCAGATTTTGGTGCTTTCCCAACCTTCTGGGTATAAAGGTAAACGATTCTATTACCAGGGGTTCGGAACAGCCTAGTTTTGTTAGAGGCTGTATTATAGGACAGCCTACGACTGTAGGTCAAACGCTGGACCATTCTGAATGCTTATGGACGCCGTCCCCAGAAGAGGACTGTTACCTGGCTTTTTATAGGATATGTTTGCTGACCCCTGCCCTAAATAGTCAACACTTAGGTGGGCTTGTTACTCAGTATTCTAGTATGACACTGAAAAGATATGCAAGTATGAAATCATCACAATGTACACTTCAAGTATCTTACAATTCTTTTTGTCAATTATATCTCAATAAAGCTGAAAAAAAAGTAAAATAAAATTCTGCACTAGGGAAAAAACAGAATGGGCATGCTGGGATCTTTTGGCTTTATTTACAAATTTCAGCTAGACAGATATACAGACCAATCGATAGATAAATGGATGGTAGATAAATAGATAGATAGACGAATAGTTGTTTTTTGTTTTTTGTTTTTTTTTAAACAAGGCTAACTGCCCTTCAGGGTAAATGCAACTTCCACTCCAATAACTACGGCTGAGGAAGTCTACCACTTTCCTAGGGAAAGGATTATATGGATGGTCAACCATTATTTTTTTTAAAGATTTTATTTATTTATTTGAGAGAGAGAGTGAGTGAGAGAGAGAGAGAGAACACAAGCTGGGGGAGAGGCAGAGGGAGAAGCAGACTCCTTGCTGAGCAAGGAGCCCGACATGGGGCTCCATCCCAGGACCCTGTGATCATGACCTGAGCAGAAGGCAGACGCTTAACCGACTGAGCCACCCAGGCACCCCTGGCCACCATTATTAATACAGAATTAACAGAAGGGGAAGATACTCAGCAGGAAGAGTAAAATGTCCTGAAGACTCTCCTTGGCCCACAGCTCAACCTTTTGGTTCACTTTTTCCTTTGATGAGACCCTGCCCACACAGCACTAAGAACTGGATTTGACCTCATCTATGTCTGGAATGGCAGCTATTCCCTGAAAGACTTGGAGGCCCTGTTTGAGAGTGTCTTAAATGCAGGCAGAGAGGGGAGTCGGGAGAACTATAAGGATGTCCATTGCAGAATTCTTTAATGGCAACAAAGTAGAAATTACCTAAATTTTCAATGATAGGGCATGCTTAAATAAAAATGGCTTAAATTAAGTCACACAATAAATACTCTGAAATCATTAGAAACGGAGATAAATCTGTGTATTAAGGAAGACATCCATTATATATGTGGAAAGAACAAATCTGGTCCCAAAGAGCATGTACAATATGATTTATTGTTTTAAAAGATATAAATGCATGAAAAAATCTGGAAGGACAAACATCAACTTGCTAATAGTTATTACCACTGGGTAGTGAACTTTTATTTTCTTCTTTGTAATCATCTGGTTTTCTTTATCCTAATTGTTCTATGGGGGGGGGTGTGAAATGACCTGTATCATAAATAAACATTAAAGAGTATTTTAAAAGACCTTCTTCATAGGGAGCTGTGTATTATCAGCTGTTAAGAGAGGGCAACTTGTTTTTATTTCCAATATATGCATCTATGTCAATTTAAGACTTTTTATTAAAAGGATGTAGTATAGGGCACCTGGGTGGCTCAGTTGGTTAAGTGACTGCCTTCGGCTCAGGTCATGATCCTGGAGTCCCTGGATCGAGTCCCACATCGGGCTCCCTGCTCGGCAGGGAGTCTGCTTCTCCCTCTGACCCTCCCCTCTCATGTACTCTCTCTCATTCTCTCTCTCTCAAATAAATAAATAAAATCTTAAAAAAAAAAAGGATGTAGTATAAATACTTATCCCCAAATAATCTAATGCATCCATGTCATTATAAACCCTTATATGAAAAGTAACTTTCCCAAAGAGGACAGGTTATCACAGAGGAGCCAAAAAGAGAAAGAACAAGAGTGGATGTGTATGCTATGGCAAACTAGCTATCTTTTTCAGAACAATGTTAATCCAATTAAGATTCTAATCGTTCGATACAAATATAACTAATATAAACCAGCATTTCACATGACAGTATGTAAAACTAACCCATATGACCCTCTACCTAAAGAATATGCCATATAAAATGGTAACTTTTTAGGACCAACAAATATTAAGAATGCAATAACATTCTCCCTCCCTTTCTTATTTTCCAAGTGACATCCTTGGCTGGCTTCTGGCATTCTGTACATTGCAATATGCCAGGGACTCTCCAGGTAAAAAGATCATGGACATCGATCCAACACCCCCATTGCAATCTGTTTGGATCTGTTGGCCACATGCAATCTGGTCCTGAGGTCAAACTGTTCCACTGAAAACTGAACAACTATTTTGCTCAGAGTTTTCTGTTTTTACAAAACAACAAAATATAAAATGACATGAATACCACAAGATATGTGTCTAACACATTTGTTCAATAGCATGAATTGTAAATTTTACATATGGTACATTAGTGTCTAGGTTCTAAGTGAATGGTACTTCAAATCCCCTTCTTTGTCTAGAATAATAAAGAAGTATAGGGTGACAGTGTCCACTCTGTCTTTTTCTTCTCAGGGTAAAAGTATGTGCAATTAAGAAGGATTACAGAAAAAAAGAGGTATGGAAGAAGCCTTAAAAAAATTTCATTAAGAAAATTTAATTAAGGGCGCCTGGGTGGCTCAGTTGGTTGAGCGACTGCCTTTGGCTCAGGTCATGATCCTGGAGTCCCTGGATCGAGTCCCACATCGGGCTCCCTGCTCGGTGAGGAGCCTGCTTCTCCCTCTAACCCTCCCCCATCTCATGTACTCTCTCTCTCTCTCTCATTCTCGCTCTCTCAAATAAATAAATAAATCTTTTAAAAAAAAAGAAAATTTAATTAAGAAATGAATACTGACACCTTTCTCATTTTTCATATGAGAAGCGGCACTGGGTAGGACCCATAGAACAAAATAGGCTTAGGTTGGACTTAAAAGTTCATAGGGAAGAATTTTACTCCATTCTGATACCTTACATAAATTTGTATGGAGATGTACCTAAATCAAAAGATTGTATAGTATTTAGATAGACAAAGAAGAAAGAGCTAAATGCATGCACAATCAAAGGAAGTTTAGACAATTTATATTTCTAAATGCTAGTTGATTTATTCATGTTGCTATGTTAATGCATTTAAAACGAGCCTTGACAAGGCAATTGGGAACGTGCCCTAGGGAATCATTCCACAGTGGAAATTTGTGACCAAAGAGGTCTTTTTTCAAACTGACATTAGTTTTTCAATGAATTAATTGCAAATTTCAAGAATTATGAGATTTCCTAAGTTATTTGTATTAGGAAATGAACAGGAAAATGTAATTATTTTTCCCCTCAAATAATATTTGAGGTCTGAAAAGAAGCTATGAACTATGTCATATTTCTTGTATCTTTCTGACAGTTTGTAATTACTTTTAATGCTGCCGTTCTCTAAATTATTAATGCTAATCTGTCATGACAGGGGCTGAAGAGAACCAGTGATTATATGCCTTTTTACTAGCAAGGCTGGTTTTAAATAAATGTCTTAATCCAAGAAAATAGAAGAGTAGTTACTTTAAAGGAAAGAGACTTGTACCTTCTTCAGGGTTCCTCCCATCCCTTAATATAAAGTAAATGCACACTGACAATAGTTTGGGCAGGATGACAATCTATGCAATAATTCCTGAAAGTGACATCGTGTGATGACACCTGGTGATTCACAGACTCACAGAATTGTAAGGTGTCTTAAAAGCTCATTGACTGCACAACTTGCTCTCCAATGCCCGAACCATCTCTATCAATCACGGCCAATGGCTACCTGTTCTCTGAGTATCTTCAAAGTGACAGGGAACTCCTTCCCTCCAAAGGCACCCATTTCTCCCTTGAGTCAAGATCTTGCTTCCTATAAATTCTACCTACTGGTCTTAGATCTGTGTTTTAGCAACACGTAGAACAGGCAGGTTTTCTTCTCAATACTTGCTTGTAACCCTTCAAATATTTGGATATATCTTTGGTATTCTTTCTGGGTCTTTTCATTTCCAGGCTAAACATACCAGCTTCCTTTAACAAGCTCCATGAGATCAAGGGCCCTCTGTTTCATTCACACCTGTATCTCTAGCTCCCAGCATAACATAAATAATAAATAATAGTTGGAAGAACAAATGTAAGACTCATTAATCATCTCTAGTTTCCCACATTTTTCATTTCCAATGACTAACAAATTTGACTGCTCTTTTCCATTCCTTGGCCAATCACATCCAAATTCTCACCTCAATTCACCAAAGAATGGGAGATCCATTCCCCAATTTCCTCTTTCTGCACATTTACACCATCCTTACTTTCTTTCCTTTTGTTTCAAAGAAAAAAAAGCTTCTTATTTCTCTCCAAGGCTAACACCACCATCTTACTTGTTCTCCCTTCCACACCTCCTTCAACTATATTTCTAGTCTACCTTTCATCTCCTTACATACACTGTCAAGTATCAATATGCTTGAGCTGGTGCCTTCCTAAAAACAAAGCTTTCCCTCTATCTTGCCTTCTCCTCAAAAATTGCCACCTTTTACATCACTGCCGACATCTGTAATCACCTTCTACAGACACATTTTAGTCTCTGTTATAAAATTATCAATATTTAATTGCTAATATAAAAACACACACAGTTGAGAAATGGGAAGTGCCACCCAGACTTTTTTTTTTTTTTTAAGATTCTGAGTGTGGTGAAAATAATTAGTGAGAGTGGACCGCTAATAATGAGGTGTCAATCAACTGAATTCAGAGACACACTGAAGGACAGGACCAAGTTCTGTTGTCTAATAAACAAATGTTAGCCCTCTGTAGAAACCTTCTATTGTTCAACATCAACTCATATTTATGCAGACATTGGAATAAAGCTTATCTATCCATAAACATATTTTTTTACAAAAGCACACACAGGCAGAATTTTGATGGTCTAAACTCGGTTGCAAAAATAATTTGAAAGTATGCTTTTTAAATGCCTCCCCATTTTAAACTTCACTGTCAAAATTAAATAATGCCATATCCATATCTAACTTTAATTTTCAGCTTGGGTTAATAAGATCAGAAATGAAGCCTCTAAAATACATTCTTACGTTTGCTTTTTATTAACTTGTCTTAACATCTCTATGCTTCACATTTTTCCATGGCTCACCATTTCTTCATGGTCAATAAATCAAGATCATGATTTTTTTTTTAAGCAAGTGGTTGTATTAGGGAATCAGAACCATGTAAAACATTTGACAATAATTAAAACTGTAAGGCTCTTAGTAAGCACTAGGCTAATTACTTGATGTGCATTGTTTCTCTGAGTGCTAGAAGGTATAATATTGCCTCCATTTTATAAATGAGGAAACTAAGGTTCACAAGGTTGCGTAACATGCCTGAGGCGACACAGTCAGTAAGGGGCAAAGCTGTGATTCAAAGACTACAAAACCATGCTCTCAACCAGAACAACATTCCATGCCATTATATTATTTAAACTCTCTCCCTTGAGTTAAGAATTAGGACATGGAGGGGCACCTATGGGGCGCGTCCGACCCTTGATTTTGGCTCAGGTCATGATCTCAGTGTCCTGGGACCAAGCCCCACATTGGGCTCCACACTCAGTGTGGAGTCTGCTTAAGATTCTCTCTCTCCCTCTTGCTCT